AGAGAGAGAGAGAGAGTACAAGTGGGGAAGAGGGGCAGAAGGAGAGAGAATCTCAAGCATTTTTTATGCTCAGTGCAGAGCCCAACATGGGGTTTGGTCCCATGACCCTGGGACCGTGACCTGAGCTGAAACCAAGAGTCCGACGCTCAACCGACTGCACCACCCAGGTGCCCCCGCATAATCAAACTTAAGCCTTCTGCCAAGAGATGGCACACTTCCTATCTGTTGACATCCCAGTGGCCAAAGCAAGAGAGCTGACCAAACCGAACATCAAAGCAGGGGGGAGGTATAGTCTTCTCACAGTGAAAGTAGGGACCGAGGAGGCAGGAAATACATATTTGTGTAACGCAGTTGGCCGTAAACTGCTGGGCTCTGCAGCCAGACGCGTAGGTCTGACCCCCTGGCTCTACCATTTAGTAGCTGGGTGGCCTTCTGGAAGGTACTTCTCCTCCTCATGCCCCAGCTTCCTCATCTGTAAAATGGGCATGACAATCACAGCCCTGCGTGAGTCTCCTGGGGCTGCCATAACAGAGTTCTACAGCTGGGTGTCGTAAACAACGAAAACTTATTTTCTCTTTCTCACTTGGGCTAGAAGTCCAAGATCGAGTTGCCGTCAAAGGTGGTGTCTCATGAGACTTCTCTTCCCAGCTTGTAGACGGCCATCTTTCTGCTGTGTCCTTGCTGGTCTTTCTTTACGTGTGCACTGTGAGTGCGTTTCAGGGTCTCTTCTTTTTCTTTGTTTCTTTTTTTTTTTTTTTAATTTTTAACGTTTATTTATTTTTGAGACAGGGAGAGACAGAGCTTGAATGGGGGAGGGTCAGAGAGAAAGGGAGACACAGAATCTGAAACAGGCTCCAGGCTCTGAGCTGTCAGCACAGAGCCTGACGCGGGGCTCAAACTCACGGACCGCGAGATCATGACCTGAGCCGAAGTCGGATGCTTAACCGGCTGAGCCACCCAGGCACCCCTAGTCTCTTCTTTTTCTTACAAGGATGCTGGTCTGTGGGACTAGGGCCCCAATCATATGACCGCATCTCCCCTTAATTACCTCCCTATAGGCCTTGTCTCCAAATAACAGCCCCGTTGGCAGGGGCGGGGGCTGAGGGGGCGGGTAGGGCTTCACAAGAAAGCACTGAATAGGAGTCGGGTTGCTATTCGTGCTTGGTTGTCACTTGGCCCGAACTGTACTGATGGGGCATTTCTCTGCTGTGGTGACTCTTCATTCCATTCGTCTTTATGTCCTTGTCACCTGTCCCAATTCCCTGGCACAAACTAGGTGCTCAGAGAAGACATTTTTTGTCCTCCTGTGGTGAAGCAGGAAGCAGTTAATGGGAGCCCCCCAGGTTTGGGGGAGCCCTGGGTGTTGCTCACCTGCTGTGGCTTGAGGCACGTCCTTTCCTTATGCCAACCGGGACCTACCACATCAAGACGGATGTTTTGCAAATGGCAAGACTTCACTCCTTTTTTATGGCCGAATAGTATTCCATTGCATAGATACACCATGTCTTCTTTACCCGTTCATCTGTTGATGGACACTAAGGCTGCCTCCATAACTTAGCTACTGTAGATAATACCACGCTGGGTAATATATGGGACTGTTGAATCGCTGTATTGTATGCCTGGAACCAACATAATGCTGTATGCTAACTCTACTGGAATTTAAACAAACAAACAAAAAATAAGAAAATGGCCCAAGTTCTCGCCAGCAAAATCTCAGTAGATTTTCATTTTCTTGTGGCCTTTGGTGCCTACGCTAAGGTAATTGGGCAATGTTCAGAACCAGAATTGACTCCGAGAGATTCTTTTTACAAAGATGCTGTTGTAAACCCCCAAGTGGCAGTAATTCTCCAAGCCCCCTGCCACAGATACTGTCCCCCACCAAGAAAGCACCGTAATGACCCTGCACAACAGGGCTGGATGTGGATGGGCATCAGGAGAACTCACTCGCACGGCTTTGTGTCCAGGGAAGTTTCTGGGTCTCGTTTATGAGTTTGGGTATTTGTCTTGAGTAGCCATTCGTAGAACCACCAGGCTCAGAGTCTCCTCTTGGGATTCAGTGGCAACACTCCAAACTCCGTGTTTGCCTCTTATTCCTAATACATATGTGGCCTTGCTTAGGGAGGCATGTGTCTGAGGCTGTGTGTTTAACAGAGGGATCCACCAGCTAAGGAGAAAATGATCAAAGGACATGGGGACAGCCTGCCTTTCCAAGTCCTCTGCTTGATGTGGCTCAGCTCAGCTCAGCAGTGTTGGGGCAGATGGTGCCATGTGCCTCCTCCCAGCTCACTGCTAAGTAATTATTGGCACAACAAATAAGTCTGTGTGTGTTGACTCTCGCAGGCTCAATTTCCTCATCTGGGAAACGGGATCAATGACACTTCCCATAAGATGTGTCGCATCTGGCCCAGAGTAGATGGTGACGGTGAATGGTGATGGAGATGAGAGCAGTGATGATGATGATGGTGATAGTTTTGGCGATGATGATGCTGATGGTGATGTTGATGGAGACAGTGATGATGATGTTGATGGAGGTGATAGTGGTGATGATGTTGATGGAGGTGATGGTGGTGATGATGGTGATGATGCTGTTGATGGAGATGGTGATGTTGATGTTGATGGAGATGGTGATGGTGATGGTGATGATGATGTTGATGGCGATGATGTTGATGTTGATGATGATGTTGATGGAGATGGTGACGGTGATGTTGATGGAGGTGATAGTGGTGATGATGTTGATGGAGATGGTGGTGGTGATGATGGTGATGTTGATGGTGATGTTGATGGTGATGTTGATGGAGATGGTGATGGTGATGATGATGTTGATGGTGATGATGTTGATGTTGATGATGATGTTGATGGAGATGGCGATGGTGATGTTGATGGAGATGGTGATGTTGATGGAGATGGTGATGGTGATGATGATGTTGATGTTGATGATGATGTTGATGGAGATGGTGATGGTGAAGATGGTGATGTTGATGGTGATGGAGATGGTGATGGTGATGATGATGTTGATGGTGATGTTGTTGATGTTGATGATGATGTTGATGTTGATGATGATGTTGATGGAGATGGTGATGTTGATGGAGATGGTGATGGTGATGGTGATGATGATGCTGATGTTGATGATGATGTTGATGGAGACGGTGATGGTGATGATGATGTTGATGGTGATGATGTTGATATTGATGATGATGTTGATGGAGATGGTGATGGTGATGTCGATGGAGGTGATGGTGGTAATGATGGTGATGGTGATGGTAATGGTGATATGATGATGGTAATGATATGATAATGATAAAGATATAATGGTGATGCCACTGCTGTTGATATGATGGTGATGAAGATATGATGATGGTGATGGTGAAGATGATGTTGAAGATATGACGATGATGATGGAGATGATATTGATGGTGGTGATGATGGCGATGGTGATGTTGGTGGTGGTAGTGATGGTGATTATGATGATGGCAGCTTTTCCCATAGAGAGGACTTACTGTATGCCAGGCATAGTTTAAACACTTCATATATGTTGGCCTTCTTAATCTTTTAAGCAAGCCGGGAGCTAGACACTGTCATTCTCCCTACTTTACAGATCAGGAAACTGAGGCATGGTGGAAAAGTGACTCACTGAAAGATACACAGCTAGCCGCTGCCCTGATGGCCTTGAAGCTCATCCAGTGTTAGTTATGCAAGACTATGTCCCCCGCCCAATGCTCCCCGATCTGTGGCAGGAAAAAGGGTGCAAACAACACACGCTGCTTATTCTAGAAAGTAATTACTTCGAATTAAACTATTGTGTACTTTCTAAAAATTTTCCTTTCATGTTGTTTCCATGGAGAGTCAGACAGAGGCAGGACAGCCCATCCTGGGCACTGACTCCCGCTGGCCGGAGCGGCCACTCTGTAATATTAACATCCATGGGCCTCTGGGTCATCCACTGTTGACCTGCAGAGGTCAGTGAGCTCAGATCCACGGGCGCAGGTGCATTCAGGTGAAAGGGAGAGAAACAAGCCCAGGTGGTCTTGACTATCCCGAAAGTTCTTTTCTTGCTTGCCTTGGCAGGCACACGTACTAAAATTGGAATGCTATAGAAAGTTCTCTTCATCCCCACTCCCAGAGGGAAAGCATTTTGCATGCCTCACAGGTGACGAGAGCCGTGACAGCGAGCGGCTGAAGCTACTGCAAGCTGAGGGCTTATTATTAATACCATGGGGAGAGCTGGGGCGGGATTTTCATCTGTCCTTATTACTGTTTTGGGAGCCCCCCCCCCCCCCCCCAGCACTTAGGAAAAAAGCCAGAACAACAATAATACTTCCTGAGTCTCAGATTCAAGTAACCTCTCCCTTTAGAAAATGCCCAGCTGTCTGATTCCTGCCAGTTAGAACATTCCAGAGTCAGACCCTCCTCCCCCCGCCCCCCACGTGAGCCGGGACTTGCCACCAGCCCGGTTGCAGGTGCCACCTGCACGGGCCTCTCTCTTCCCGTCATGGGGGAACAATAGCTTCCAGTCCCACGCCGCCCCTCCCCGCTCCTGTGGCCCCACCAAGCCACTCCGCGTGCCTGAGCCTCAGTTTCCTCCCAGGTCCGACGGGAGGCCGGAGCTGCCTCGGGGACTGTGCGTGCAACCGTGAGGTTGCACGGGTTGTGTGGAGTGGCTGACCCTGCCGGGTGCACAGGACATCTCCAAATTAGGCACACCCCGGCCCCTGGTCTCCGATCTGGGGCAGGAAGCGGCCTCAGAGATCGCGCAGTGCACAGCGTTCGTTTACATTTTGGAGCACAGAGCCTCCCCACTCAGTGCTCCCGGCTCTGACCCCACGCTCTGCTGGTGACTCTTCTCTTTCGCCACCAGTGGGCCTGACGGGGCTCTGCCATCAGAATAGCACTCCCTGTTTACTCTGGGTGTGTGAGCTTAGCTTGTTGCTGGCACAGTCTGGAGAGATCTTCCCGCCTTCTCCCTGCGGTAAGTCTGAGTACTTTTTTTTTCTGTTTTTCAGATGAAGAAGCCGAGGCTCCGAGAGGTTGAGGCACTCCCCCCGAGATCGCACAGCTGGTGAGTGGCTGGAACTTGAGCCCAGCTCTCGGTGACTCCAGAGCCTGTGCTGTTAATTGCTTGCTTTCTCTGTCTTAAACTGCGTTGAAACGGTTGTCCCCCGGCAGCCAAGGGTGGGAGACCTGTGACCCGGTTAGTGTCGTAACTCTCCCGGTGCCTCCTACAGAGCACAGTAGGCCCTCCAGACATACAGGATATTTTGAAGGGGATCCTTTCTAATCCCACGCGGTGGGGCAGTGTTCAGGGAACCGGACGCTCATCGAATCACTGGAAAGTTCTGCTTAGTCAAGGGCTTCCCCTTTTCGCTACGTTTAAATGCCCCAAGTCACCAACGCGTGCGGCGTGAGAAATGCATTCTGCGCCCCGTCCTAAAGCATGTCTTACATTTCGTGTGCAGACTGTGCCTATAGACCATTTTGACCGTGGAGGTGTCTTTGTGATTCAGAAAGTACGATCCTTGACTTCGCGGTGGGAAGGAGGGCAGGACAGGTGGCGGAAGTGGGGTCCAGCACCGGGCTGACACCAGCCCAGGCCCCCAGCGCCCTCATCCCACACCCAAGCAGGTGCCTTGCCAAGGGCTAACCTCCCCCAGCCTTTTCTGCACCCTCAGTGTGATTCTGACCATCTCCGCTTTCCGGTCCTGCTACCTCTCACGCTCCCCCCCCAACCCCCGTCACCAAGAGTGCTCCTCTTCATTTCCTCATCCTTGAGGCCCACTCTCTTGTTTTCAGAAGGTTTCCTAGAACCTGCTTCTGAAAAATCTTTGAGAATGAACAAGCCCCACTTAGTAACGTGACCGCAGATGAACCGCCTGATTTGGTCTCCTAAGTCCTCAGAGAAACCTCTAGAGTAGGGGTAGAGGTGGGTGTGATGTTGGTTTTCAAGCCATCTTCGGGGTGGTGGGGAGGCCCCAGTGTCCGGGCTGGGCCCCGCCCCCCTCAACTGGAAAATCTGCTTCAGTCGTTAGTTTCTGCCCGGGTAAGATTCTAGCTTAAACAAAATCCGGAAACCGCGACCTCACTAACGTCCTCGTCCAGAAGTCCGGAAAGCTGGTTCTAGGTCTGGTTCCGCCACGTTGCACTGGGTGAATTTCACCACGTCCTTTACCTTCACTGGGCCTCAGTTTGTCCATCCGTACAGTGGGATCCTTGTGGTTTCTGGCCAGGGCGGCAATGAGTCTTCGATGATGCTCATGCAGCCGCTTATGCTCCTGAGTTGACAAGGAAAAGCCCATCAGGGCAGGGGACTGACTGAGAAAGGGGTGATACTTGATGGAAACAGCCCCACCCTCCATGGGTACCCTGGTTGGGACAAATCCAGAGTCACACGCACTCCCGGGGGGAACGAACCCCCCTCCATCTGACATCCCAGTATTCCATGGAAGTCACTCTGAGGCCGCGGGCTCTCTGGGAACCAGACCCGTGGGCCCCCTGGTAGGGCCGGGTGCCCCTCCCATGCCGTGAGCCCCACATCCTGCCTCGCCACAGAGGACCCCAGGAGGCAGGATGCACACTTGCTCGCCACAGCTCTCGCTGCCTGCACAGATGTAGAGTGCGGTTTTGTAATATTTTTGGCTTTATTGTTTTTGCAAAAACCACAGGAAGTCTGTGGGCGGAGCTCTGCCTCCCGTCCCCGAAGGTGACTGGTCTGCTTGGTCCGGGGCCAACAGAGCTCAGGTCAGAGGGGGAAACCTCCCGAGGGGAGAGGCACCCGCCCTGAGCCGGACACTTGCCCTGGGCCATCCGTGGGCCACCCTGCCTTGAGGATGTCACTGTCACCATCCCATTTTCCATATGAGGACACTGAGGCCCAGAAATGACCCAGAACTCCCCCTCCCCCACCACCTCCCACTCTACACAAACCCAAAGGGACCTCTGCTCGCTGAGCTCCGAGCACTTTGCATCCTGTGTGCAGCCCACACATATTGAGAGCCCACCGCTGTTCTCAGTATGGGGGACACAGCAGTAAAGGATGCAGGTGAGGTCCCTGCCCTCCCCTAGTGGGGGAAGAGAGACAAATAGAGAAGGAATACCGTGTACAGTGAAGTGTCATTTTGTGACTGGGTCTGCAAAGGGAAATGTAGCTGAGCAAGGGAGCACTGACAGCGATGCAATTTTAGGGGGATCAGGGAAGGCCCCTCCAGGGAGGGCATCTGGGCAGAACCATGAATGCAGCCAGAGAGCAAGCTGTGTGGATTCTAGGCTAAGAATCTTCTAGGCGGGGCAGGAAGGGTGGCAGGTGCAAAGGCCCTGGGGCAGGGAATGTGACTGTTGTACCAGAACACTCTTCGACCCTCTGTATGTTTGCCTCCCCACTCTCCCACCAACACAGCTACTAGTCTCTGTTGTCTCCTCCATCTGTCACCTCCAAGTGTCTGCAGGGGTGAGGTAAGGGGTCATGGCTATGTAGCAAAAAAAAAAAAAAAAGAAGAAGAAAAAAGACAAGAAGAAGAAATCAAACAGAATTGAGTGGAGCAGAAAAAAAGTGTATATCTAATAGGAAATGACTCATCTGATTCCTTAACCCATTTTGTACAGTTCATTCTTGGTTGACATTTGAAGTAGCTTCATATTCGGTATGGGGGGGGGGTGGGCAGAAGCAGACCCACCTGTGGCCCGGCACGGCCATCAGCAGGCTGTAATCTTGGGCAGCTTCCAGTCCCGCCCGGAGGTCCCTTCCTCCGCCATCTTGGTTGGTAATGACACCTGTCTGGCACCTGCTGAAGCAGCTCACGGGCGGGGTGCGCTGGAAGGGACGTGTTTGGAGAATTAGGGACCACGAGTTCAAGTCTTGCTGCCACCACAGATGCCTATACAGCCTCGGACAAGTCACGTCCCTGAGCCTTGCTTTCCCTACCTGGAAAAGGAAGCAGACAGGTAGGGTCCTCCCTCCGTTCCTCTGTGATCTTGAAATGCCACAAGCCTTTGCCTCCGAGGCAGACGGCAGTCAGGCATCGGGACAGAGCCTTCCAGCAGCTCCCTTTTGATTTTGTGAGCCTGGAACTCTCAGCAGAGGGATGCCCAGTGCAGGGGGCACGACCTTGGTGATCCTGCCTCGGGCATTCAGATAAGAGCCTCAAGCAGTCCTCGCCTCTCTCTGGTGTGGGGCCTGTGGCTGTGGAACCAGAAATTCATTTCTAGGAGCAGAGGAACGTCTCTCTTTCCCTGGGACCCAGAAGGACTTATTAAAGTGTTCCATTAACTGAAGCTCATTCAGCTGGAAAAAGAATAATCAGACAGCAGTTCTGCCTGGTTACTGGCCTGTGAACGCCTTGAAAGTTTCCCAGAAGGAACGCTCAACAAGCCCCCGTATGGGGGCGCCTGGGTGGCCCAGTCGGTGAAGCATCTGACTCTCGATTTCAGCTCAGATCACACAGTTTGTGGGATCGAGTCCCACCTTGTGCTGTGTGTTGACAGTCCGGAGCCTGCTTGGGATTTTCCCTCTCCCTTTCCCTCTCTGCGCCTCCCCCGCGCTCGCTCTCTCTCTCTCCCTCTAGATGAATGAATAAACTTAAAAAGAAAAGTAAAAACTCCTGTATGTAAGAGAGCCCAGCCCTTCCTGCTTCCTCCCCGACGAGCAGTCAGCGTGGGAGTCGACCAGCAAGGCTGTTATCGTTCGGCCCATGAAACAGGCCCCCGTACGGGTACAGTGCCAGAGATACAGAAGTAAATGAGACACGGTCTGTGCTCTCAGTGACCGTTCGGGCTCAGCCTGACCACTTTCCTCGTTCGGTCGAACTCCAGACACTTCATGGCTGAGCTGACTCTGAAGGTCACAAAGATGTAAACATTTGAGCAACTTTCACCTGTCAGTGTTATCTGTTTTCCACAATGCCTGCGCCGAATTCATTGGCTTAGCCTTCTTCAGTCAAATCAATTTTCTTTTGGTTCCTTCCTTCCAACACATCCTTGTCTCACGTGAATTTGGAGGGGAGGGAAGTGGCCAGAAAGTTGCTCGTGGGCAACGAGGCACTTAACAAGGGCATTTTACTGGTTATAAAGTTCAGGATTTTGTAGCAAACGGTAAGCAAGCCCTCTTTTGGTCCCAGACTACCTCAGGTCGTGCAATTGGTTGCTGCAAACATAACCCTGAAAAGCAATCCAGATAAAGGACTGGTCAGGGCTTTGCATTCTGAGCCCACCCAGTAAGACGTGTGGGAACGCACGAGACCCTTGGAGGAGTGTCTCTTGACAATAGGTTGGCACAGAAAAAGTCTGGATTTGATCCCGAGGTCTAACACCTACTAACTGTGAGATTGTGCAAATTGCAACTGTTCAGTGTCTTTTAGCCCCAGGTTTATTATCTGTAAAATGGGATAATACCTACCTTTCAGGTGATCGTTCACAATGATGTAAGATCGCTGTTGTAGGAACATGACGGGGAACAAAACGGAGTCTGAGCTCAAGGACCCTAATTGCATGGAGAACCTTTTCAGCTATCCATAAGCATGTAACGTTGGAAAACAGAGGTGGGCGAGGTGCAGAGGGTGGTAGACGGCGTGATTCGGGGGTGCAGAAGGTTCAGAGAGAGTCTCTCTGACGAGCTGACACGGGACCCAGCATCCTGAGTTAAGTGGTGGGTGTCGTCCTGTCTGTGGGAGGAGCATCCGGGCAGGGCGCACAGGCTGTGCACGGGTCCTGGGCTTGTCATCTTGCAAGGGGGCACGGGGCTGGGGAGCACAGTGGGCAAAGGGAAGGCGTGGAGAGTGGGGTCGGAAAGTAGGCAAGGACCAGTTCTAGGAGGATCTCGCAGGCATCGAGGGGCTTGGGGGAGCAGGAGAGCATGTTCGGTCCGGGGTTTGCTTTTTATCCCCGCCTGTTAACTGAGCAGCTAGCCTGTTACCGTTGCTTGGATCGCGGCAGGTGCCGCGAGGCTCCTGGGTGTGGACGAGGGCCTGTTATGAATGGGAGAGATCTCACACCTCTTCTGCCCAGAGCCCGGGCCCAGAGTTTCCCCTTCTGAATTTGGGGGCAGAATGATAGCTCGGTCAATGCTCACAG